ACTCCTCAAATAATGGTAATTTCAAATTTGATCTCAATTCACTATTTATTTTCAAATATTGTTTCATGGAACAATTTAGTCTTTTACTAAATGCTTATTTTCTAAGACTTAGGTTTATGCTTTTTTGTGTTTTTCTTAGCCATTTTTTCTCTATTAATAAACTTTGTTACTAACAATGGCTGTTCTTCCAGTAGCTTCAGGCATTTACTGTTTCTTAGTCATTTGGTTTTCTCCCACGGATAGTCTTATATTTTTGTTTTGTCCTCCTATCTCTGTTTCAAAAGTTCTCTGAAAGCCTGATTTATTGATACAAATATGAATGATCACCATTTCATACTGTTACAGTTCTTACCATTAATAAACAACAAATAATGCAATTTGGGAAAGATAAGTACATCTGATAACAGAACAGCTTGATATAGTAGAAATGTTACTGATATAGAATTGATTTGCAGATTTGCAGTACATGCTACCCCACATAGACAGAGGAGTCAGCTATTCAAGAACAAATTTATCCAAAACCTGTCTAGGTTGAAACAAAGTATTTGACTACTCTAATTCATAGCTGCACAATGCATTCATTCTACTAACCACCAGATGCCATCAAAGCCAGAGTGAGTAATCTTTTCAGCCATATCTTTACAGCAAACAGCTATTTTTTTACATGATAAAATCCTGCAATATCATTTCTGCATGATTTTTAACTAGCAAAAAGAAATCGTAGCTGATGGGGTACACAGCCGATTTTGACAGGCCACCACGAATAAAAGCCATCTCTACCTTGATGAATTTTACACCATGATAACTAATCCAAGACAATGAAATACAATAAAGAGGTTCTGATGTCGAGATCTCTCAGTAGTTTTCACTTCTATTCATTTAGTAACCAGCAATGTCTGTGTTCAGAGCCCAGGTACCTTCCCTGTGCCTGCGAAACATCACGAGCCCACGATCTTTTTATTTGAAGCTGCAGCTGTTGGTGGGTTTGAGCAGCTCTGATCAAATGTGAGGTGAATAAAACTGATTTCCGTGATCCCTGCTACAGCTTGCAGATGATATAATGAATCTTCTGGAAACTTTTGAAGTTGCTTTCAAAGCTACATAAGCAACATTGCCAACGTCTTAATTCATAAGCCACTCCTCTTTTGATGTTTGGTTTCCTGTGTCTTTTGAACTAGATCATGACTGTAACAACATGTCTTTTTTTCCCGTGTCTAGCTGACAGCCCCATAGCTTCAGGGGTTGAAGGTGACATCCCTAAGTATGGTTTATCGCTGGGTATTTAGTGATCTGGTAAACACAGACTTAGAGAATTATGTCTACCACAATAAGTTTGTCCTTTACTGCAGAAAATCCATAAAACAGCTGAGAAAATTGCAATGCATAATACAAGCTATAAATGTGAGCTATAAATACAATGCAGGATTTTCCTAACGCAACAAGTATGTCATTTACTTAGTACTGCATACAAATACAAGTCCCAGTTTGTGTGTAAAATACACAACAGTGTGTGAAGGAATATGTACATTATAGGATCATTAAGCGCTATAATCTCATTTTATGACATGTGCAAAGCACTTTACTTCAGCTTACCACTCAGGATAAAACATCTTGCAAAGAGAGAGTGCATATTCAAATGTATTATACAAAGATGAAAAGACATGCTCCTCTAGCCTACTAAATTGTTTAGTTATGCACCTAATCCCAATGCCAGAGAAAATTGCCATGGTAGGAGATGATTCATCTCAGAGGTAAAGTATAGGAAGCAAACTTAGTTAACAAATAAAAATACGTGAGACTTTCATGGGACAGGAAGGATAGAGTGGGTCAGCTCTAAGATACACTGAGACACAAACCTTTCTCAAACACTGCTATCATCCCATTGTGGTGACCCCTTTACACACTTTCTATATCTATTTAAGAGGAATGGTGTTGAGAAACAACAGGAAGATACAATGAAGGAGCCTGAGGAGTTTGAGTAAGGACCGGGAATGAATCCTGATAAATAAGTCTTTGGGACCGAGAAATCAAAGAGTCAGGAAGCTGTGCTGGGGACAAAACAGTGTCTCCTGTTTGATTACTTTTGCTTTCAGTATAAGAATTTGGTCGTTATTTGTGACTAAAGAGGGTCACACCACACAAGGATATGAAAGCAACTACCTATTTCTAAACCAAGCTAGAAGAGGAACACAAACACTCATGTAGTTATGAAGCCACATGGAAGAATTTAGGTCGATCTAAATTATCTGAAACTTGCTTAAGTAGCAGTAAATTAAGAGGGAAAGAAGGCTTCAGTTCCTCTTATCTGCATTTTTGTTTCTGCTTTTGGAAAGACCTGAATCATATTTTCGGCTTTCCTCAGCAGTCAATTAAGCCTGAAAGGGAAATACTTTTAAAAATGAAAGCTGAGATTCTTACATCATCAAGTGCCTCTAGCAAGTGAAGAAATATTGCAAGACTCATGAAAAAAAAATTCCTAAAGATTCATTTGATAGGAAATTACAAGAGATGTGAGACTTCTATAAATTCCATTCACAGGCTCAATTGTATTCCTATTCTTCCAAAAGCCACAATTTTCTAGAGGGGAATTATTTCAAAAGATAAAAAAGTATCAGTCTCACTGATATTTTCAAGACAGTTTTCATTACCATGCAGTACTTATTTTATCTGTCTAGTGGCATAACAAGACTGTTTTATTTACTATCTCAACTGATGTGAGAATCCTAAACAGTATTTTAGCAGTACTGAAGAGCAGTAAAGTGACAAATGTTAATTTATTCATCCATGTTGCAGCAAGACATCAGAAAAAAAATTGAAAAGGACAAAATTCAACAAATACTTGTTCATTTAACTGCGTGTATTTCCCGAATTCCCTAATAAGAAAAAATCCAGAACTGCAAGTGGAAAGTAAGATTTGGGAAGCAGTAAACCTGAGAAAAAGAATCTTAGATTCAGTTCAGCCTAAATGGTGATGTGGTAGGGCAACAAAGATAGAGCTGGTGCACTTATGGCCAGCTCTGTGAGCGGGGTGAGAGCACCAATCCATAAGGTTCTGCAACACGCCAGGTGATGCTACAGCCCAATAGCTGCCAAAAAAGGGTGCCAGAGGTGGTGGGACAAGAGATTAAAAAAAAATAAGAAAAAAAAAATGTGAAAAAGGATCAACAACAGAAAGCTTAAGGGGACTGAGCATAAATCTTTACAGAAATGTTAAGATTAGAGACTAAACAAGCAACAACTAAGTAGGAATGCAGTTGTCCAGAAATATTTGACGAGCTAACTGCTGAGGAAGAAGGGGAATTGTTTAGTCCAATACCTAGGGCTATAACAGCAAAAAATGGGATGAAATTAAGAGGGAAGATTTAGGCCAGATATCAGCAAAACATTGCAGCAGAGTTATTGTACTGTGAAATAATCTCCCAAGGGATGCAGCTGAAACCCCATTGTATGGGAAATTGAAAACTAGCTCCAATTAGAGCTAAAAACTTCAATGCAGCAAACAATACTGCCTCCGTGGAATGATGGGCTGGATTGACTTAATAGCCTTTTTTCCAATTTCTATTCTATTCAATTGTAGAATGCACAATGTAAGACAGTTCTAGAGGAAGAATGTTTTTCTTAGCAAAAGATACTGTTTTAGCTAAGTGTGCTGAAGTTTAAACACCTACTGCTCCACCAGTCGCTACTACAATGTCTGAATATGCCACATGGACAAGGATATTTTTTACAAAGTGATCCTGGCCTTCAAAATTCTGTTTGATCTCCCATTTTAATAGCTGAAGCAGATAAAGTTGAAACTCCATCTGAAGAGATTATTAGGAACATTCATAATATATAGCAGCATATCAAAACCAGAACGATATTACTGCCAGTTTAAAAAATGGATGCAAAGTTTATCACACAAAAGCTAAAAAACCCTTTAAAAAGATGGTGAACTTTAGCAGTTCCACACTTTTCAAAACTACTTGCGTACAAACAGTTTGCACAAAAGAGCTTGTATTTATTTTGCATATTCATTCCCCTCATGTGCCTGCTTTTTCTGCAAACCCTTGCTTTGTATCTGTGCAGGCAACTCTGGGTGACCACAGGAGTGATAAATCCACACAGAACACATATTTAGGGGACCAGTCCTTTTGCATAACATGCACAAGTCACAGTATGATTGCTGGATGTAGATTTTCCTCAACCAGCTAAAACAGTTCACTAAGCTAAAACATTTCACAAAATGAGAAGCAGCAATGAGACTTGGGTACACACAGAATTTTTCATACATATATATGTAACTGATAATACAATTTTCTACTACTCTTCACATATGACTCCTCTTCAATATTTTCCACAACACTGCCTGTGGTCAAACTCTGATGTGACTGAAACATGAGATACGGGCAAATTTCAGATACGACTATTTTATACTATGCACGAGCAACTGGAAAAATAAGAAAACGCAGCAACTTCATCAAAATTATAAGAAATGCTTCATTTCTGTTTGTTTATGAAGCAAAGGACCTTTTTTATGATCTACTGACTGATTTTGAGTCCTGCTAATAGCTGCAATAGGAAGGAACTAAGCTACATCTCCCTGAGAACAGAAAACAGTCTCATATCTTGACAGCTGACCACATTCAATAAGTGGTATGGTTATAGGCAGTATCACAGAAAAGCTGAGGTGGACTAAAATTTTTATTAATAGACACTTGATTTAATCTGGAGAAACATCCTCTCTTTTGGCAGTACATAAGGCTTCACATAAGCACAGTGTGCATATTTGAAACTAAAATGCAGTGTAAAAAAAACCCCAAACCTGTAATATTTTCCTTTGATTTTAGTTGATTTTCACCTGCTTATATCACATATGTGTTGTGTTACAAACAGCACTAAATTATAATAAAAGACCAATCCACCCGATATTCTGAATATATTTTATTCCTTTTCTAGCAACAGCTGCAGCAGGTTGTTGATGTGCATAAATTGGTTTACCAAAGCAACACACTATTTACCTGTCTCTGAATGAATTCAGAAGCCTCCAGGCTGCATTAACAGCTGTCCAGAATTTAAAATCTTTCAAGAGATACAGTAAGTTGCAAATTTTACACTTGAGATATGTTTTAATAGTTCCTTACTGACGTACAGGGCGTGAGACAGGCAGGAGGTGTTACCGTGCCAGGGATGAAACTCTAAGCACATTTTCTGTATGTGGCAGCCATTCAGCCTGGAACAGCATTAGAAGCCAGGGAATATTATAACAATATCAAGACTTCAGCTCACATTAGCTACTTCTTGAAAAGCCACAAAAGCAGTGGCTGGACTTACATCCCCAGTTTCCTAGGAAACTTTTCTCTGTCTCCCTGGCTGTTCCAAGGTGTCTTGGAAGTATGCAGCTGCAGAAAGTATTTTTGAGCTGATGAGCTCTGACCAGTGCTGTCGGTCTCCCCAGAATCCTCCCCATGTCTGGAAACATCGGTGATTTCATGGGGCATGTTCATGACATTCATCCCCACTAGTCACTGCAGTCTACCAAATGCATTTAAATTATCTCTTGGAAATATGTGACATAAGGGCTGGTATAAGGTTAATATCAATTTCTTTAAATCAATCACTCGGGAAAATCTTGCAGCTCTCTTGTGCTAAAGGTGAGCTCTCACTGTCTTCAGTAGGTATAGTTGGAGGATCCAAAGAGACCTGGCAGCAGCCTTGGGATATAGGAAGATGATTACATTCTCTTTGGCTTCTAGAAAGTGAATCCCATCATCTTCCCAGGAAATGAGAAAAGTTAAATGCATGGAAACTGCTGACACTTGCAAGAATTTGCAGAAAGTTGTTTTCTGTTTTAAATAGAAAAGTCCACAGGAAGTCTGAATCCAGCAGGTAAACAACCAATTTTCAGAGCAATTATGCTTTTGCATATATACATCAGCTTTCACCCAGAGCTCGAATTAACACCCTGGTTGCATAGATTTAACACAGTTACAATTTCGGGTGTTTCTAACCAGGAATTTAAGACTAGACTTCTAGCTGAATAAGAAAATTTTAAAGAAATTTTTGATTGACAAAAGCAGGAAAAGTTTGGGTTTCATGGAACATCCAAAGCACAGGAACTGCCACATTAGGGTACTCTACCACTATGTGCAAAAGGGTGAGTGTCCCTCAAATCAAGGCTTCTTGGGGTGGACAGTTCTCAACTATTATTTTCAGCTAATAATTATTCTGGCCTACCCCTCTTCTTACTAGCACTTGCAAAGAAAGAGGACCAATTATTTTAATTTAAAAGTATGTAATTTAGTAGTTTTGAGGCAGTAGTAACACAGATCAGTTTTGATATTCGCACATATATAAAAATGTGCAGCCTTATGTTGCTAATACTGTACAATCACATTTATTCCCAGTAAAACCTTTGGGTTCCTATAGTAACAACGGGATACTACTTTATCACTCCTAAAGGTAATGAGCAACCTTGCTAGGAGCAAACCTCACACAATTTTTTCTGTCATTAAAAAGTGTGGTACCTTCAGCACAGGGTCTACACACATTTATTCACAGAATCACAGGATGGTTGGGGTTGGAAGTAACCTCTGGAGGTCACCTTGCCCAACCCCCTGCTCAAGTAGGCCCACCTACAGCCAGCTGCCCAGGACCACCTCCTGGTGGCTTTTGAATATCTTCAAGGAGGGAGACGACTCATCCTCTCTAGACAACCTGGCCCAGTGTCTGACCACCCTCACAGGAAAACAAGGAGGATGAGTTTTTTCCCTGATGTTGAAACATCAACATTTCATTTCCTTTTGTGCCCATTGCTCCTCATCCTGTCACCAAGCACTGCTGAGAAAAGTCTGTATTAATAATAATTGGGTTTTCGTGGGGCATGAAAACTTTACAAATAACAACTTGATTGGTATCAAATGAAATATTTTCTCTAAAACAAATATTTGGGCTTCAGTTCGGAGCAGTTTAACTCTAAAAAAGAAAAAAAAAAAAGGCAAAAAAAGGTAAAAGTGAAAACAAAAAAAAAACCCCAAAACATTCACAGGGCATTTCAGTCCTAGTTAAAAAAAGGTGTCTATGAAGCTTTCCTTCTACAATTCAGGGGCTAAAGCCTTTCCTATCTGCTTTGTGTCTGCTTCTCCCAGCTACAGCTCTGAAAACTCAGCCTGACCTGTGTCTTTCCTTCAGTTCCCCACTCCTAGTCCAATGCAATGAGTCAAAGAGAAGCTATGAAAGTGTGAAGTACAGAGCATGAAGAAGATCAGCTTTCCCACTGAGAGTAAGCTGTGTCTAATGTTTCATTAATCTTAAATCCAGGAATTTTAACAAATTAATCAATCACCAAACTTGATGAAAGCAGTTGTGAATAAGAAGCTGTGTCCCTAAGAAAAAAATGAAATCATCTTTAATCCTTTTATTCCTCTTTTTTCTGTTTTTAAAATGAAGGCACCACCACTCACCCCTACCTCACAAGTACATTATGAAAAAATGATGTGTTCAAACTCTAATTTAGCACAGACCAGATTCCTCAGAAAAACAACGTGGTTTGGACTAATTTATCCAAATTAAACATTACTTTCACTTCTTCCTTAGGAGAGCTGCTCAAAATATGGCAGAAGTAATAATGCTGTAATCCTCTAAGGACACCTCTATACACAGGAATCTGCATTCTAATCCACTAGACCGTGGAATCTATGCCAGCACACCTGCCCTTACCATGGAGGCACCCACCAGCAGCATTTCATGTATCTGGTATCAGAGGTATTTGATATTAAAAAAAAGAAAGAAGCCTGTCAAAAAGCGATGGAGGAAAAGCTTTATCCCCATGTTTGCTCTAACTATATTTCCATCCCAATTAAACTTCCCTAAATACACAGAGGAATTTCAAAGCAGTTTGCAGTGATTTAGCTGTGTAGCTCACACTGCCATTTCTGGGAGTCAGGATGATAAATCTCTTCACACTGCTCTGAAAGTTTCCCCAGCATGTTGGAGGCATGTTTCAAAGTCGGGAGAGCTCTGCTAATGAGACCTGCTCCCTTTGATGTTCCCGCTGGATGGCGGCTCTGGCACCAAATTAATATTTTAGATGTCTTATGCAAAAAAAAAGTCAAACATTTTTCACCTTTGATAACCATACATCTTACTTTAAAGGCCTTACTTTTAAATATTAGGGATGAAAGGTGATTCTTTTATGTCCTTTTTGCCATTGAGAAGTAATGCTTGTGTAATTAAAAATGAATAATGTTTCACATTTGGTAACCTTAGTATACTTAGTCAACCAATGACATTGAGGTTAGAAATCAATATATACAGTTAAGCAGTGTTAATGCAGTGGATAGCTCATTTCTCAATTAAAAGCATTTTAAAACCAACCACCTTCATTTTCATGTAGCCATTTGAAAAAGCCTATGGAGAAAATATCTGGAGTCTTAAGGAGATTAACCAGAGATTCTGCTGAGCCACACTTCTGAATGCAAAGTTCAATTGACATGTCTGATCTTAGTGTCCTTAAGTACAGTGTTTGCAGTTCACAGCAAACAGTAAAACATGAAGAGAGAGAGAACACGAGGCACTGCTTTTCAATAATGCTAATCGACTTCCTCAGGATGCACTTGCAAAGGTTAGAGCAGAAAATATTCTGCCTCTTTTATGCAATTAGGGAGACATCAGAAATTTATAGCAAGGGGAAAAGCCTGAATAGACATAAATTTAAAAGCCCTACAGAGGAGGAAAATAATTTCCTCTGTTTCTGTTTTTGCCCCATATATCCAAACCTTCCCTTAGTTTTAGAAAAGAATGAGAGACCCCAAGGTTTTGAGATGGTCATTTAATATCTCTTTGCTCGTCTAAAAGGGTCTATGCTTTTGCTCATTCAAGAAAGTTCAGAACTTGAAGAACTTGTACAATTTACATTTGGCAAATTTCCAGCAATACACAGTGCTGCCAACAAACAAAATGAAAAAAACGACTGAATACTCAGCAGAAACCACAAGAGAAAGTTAAGGTAAAAAGCAACTTAATACTATTATCCAACCTGGAGTTTGACAAGAACACAGGAGTTCCAAATTAAACAGAATTTCAAAAAAGAAGTCTGTGTCATCTGACATCTGGAACAAGAAGCTTAAGCATTGCAGCACCAGTGCAGTGCAATCACAAGACTAAGGCACTGAGCAATAATGAATTTCAGTGCACTTGAACAGCAGGAAATAAACATAAGAATGGAAGACATTCCCTGAAAGGTATCAGAACCTTTTTCTTGGATTCCTACACATTTCAAGACATCAGATATTGAAATTAAATTTAAAAAAAAAAAAACAGGGCCTTGTGCAGAGCCAAATTTTGGCACAGATGTCCTGCATAGGGCCAGGAGCTGAACTCGATGATCCTGATGGGTCCCTGCCCACTCAGCATATTCTATGATTCAGAAGAACTTAGCTTTGAATGAGAGTAATTGGGAATTCTTTGAATCACAGTAGATATAGTGGGGAAATCCTCTTACCCTGCTTGAACCTTCAGTACTGCATCAAAAGCCTTGGGTTTTATCAGTATGTAAGACATGAAGCTGGCCCAGTTAAACTCAGGAGCTACACAATGAAAACACTATGATTTTCAGCATACATGAAATGAAAAAGACCCTATGATTGTCAGCATACATTTTATTTACCACTTGTTCCCTCCTTTCAGCCATCCGTTCCGATGCAGACTATAAATACACGATCTGTTATTTTTTTCCCCAAAGATTTTGATTCATTCAGTACACAAACACCTGCTAAAGAAAAATTCAGCCCTAACAGTTAACATCTGGCTACAGTTTGCACAACTGACAATGGGGCTAAGCTCAAAATAGAGCAATAGCTCAACCTGAAATCCATTTAAATTATTGTATTGTTATTAGCATCAAGAAGACAGTAAGGTTTAAAAAAAACAGTCTGAGACAAAGCTGCACATGCAACAGATAATATGCATGAAGTAGTACTGCTTATCAGAATGAAGACTTTTTCTACTGAAACCAGTAACATTCATTAATATTAATATCATAACAGGAAAAAAAGTGCAATGTTAGAAAATCAAGAAACTACAGTAAACAAAAGTTAAACTGCTCTTATCTGCAACCTCTAATTATGTCGGTGTAGGGCATACAAGTGAGTGAAGAACACTCACCTAAATTTTAAATGTCTCTCCCTAAGTGTTGATACTTTCTTTTGTCAACCTTTGCCTTTTTTGGTTACTA